TTCCCCAAAATACCATGACACATTCTCATACTTATCCACTTATTGGCTACTGTGAGAATTTCTCTGAGATATGTATCAAGGAGTGAGATTCTTAATTCTTGATTTTATTTTTATTTTTTAAAAAAATATTTATTTATTTATTTGAGAGAGAGAGAGTGAGAGTGAGCGAGCAGGAGTGTGGGAGAGGGGCAGAGTGAGAAGCAGACTCCCTGCCGAGCAGGGAGCCCAGCTCGGGGCCACGACCTGAGCCAAAGGCAGATGCTTAACCGACTGAGCCACCCAGGTGCCCCTTGATTCTTTTTTTTAAGGTTTTTATTTTAATTCCAGTTATCATGCAGTGTTATTATTTGTATGATATAGTGATTCAACACTTGCACAAATCACCTGGTGCCCATCAGGATAAGTGCCCTCCTTAATCCCCATCACCTATCCCCCCCCACCCCCCCATCTTCCCTCTGGTAACCATCAGTTTGTTCTCTATAGTTAAAAGTTGGTTTCTTCCTTTGTCTCTCTCATTTTTTCCCTTTGCTTGTTTGTTTTGTTTCTTAAATTCCACATAGGAGTGAAATCATATGGTATTTGTCTTTCTCTGACTGGCTTATTTTTCTTAGCATAATGCTCTCTAGTTCCATCCATGTCCTTGCAAATGGGAGATTCTTGATTCTTGAATCAAATCCCATTGCTTCCCAGAATGACCCTGTACTCTCTCATCCAAACAGCATTAGGCTAAGTTTCTGTTTTCCCACCTCCTCTCCAACTTTTCCTATTATCCAGCTTTCTAATTCTTGCCATTCTGATGACTATAAAATGGTTTTCAGTCCATCTGGGACACTGCCACTCCAGTCTTTGATTATATTTCATCCTTGCTCCAGGGGAGTTTCAGATGTATAAGGTAGTTAAATGTGAGGCTTTCCATAATCTAGACCTCCTTACGTATTCTACTGTCTTACCCTCCTTCCAAAATTGAGCTTGTCCTTTTTTGTTAGACTCACTACTCTCCTGCCCCTCCCACTAGGTGGTGTCAGCTCAGCTGCAGTGCGTCACTCGTAACTTTGTCCGGAACACCCTTGCCTGTCCTCTGCTGTCTGATTCATCCCGTTCCTCCCTGCCCAGGACAGTATCCATTTACCCACAGGACCTCAACACTACTCCTCCAGCCCGGCTGACCAGAGCTTAAGGTCACATGAACTTAAGTTCGGATGCAGGCTGCTGCACTATTTGCAGCATCCCTGTGGGTGTGCTAGTCTACCTCCCTCTCCCTGGGTTTCCTCACTGGTAAAGATGGCGGTAATAAAACCTGTCAAATAGTTTGGTGATGGCGAAATGAGATAATGTACATAGTAAGTGCTCAGAAATGGTACCTATACTGTTTTCTAGTTTTCTAGTTGTTTTATGGATCTAAATCGTATCTCATCAGCAAGATTGTGGGTTTCTTTTCAGGGCAGGGGCTGAGTCTTACGCTTATTTTAACTAGTAAATCTGGCACGCAGCTCAGAATACAGATGCTTAGATGCTTAAGAAACATTTGTTGGGGGGCGCCTGGGTGGCTCAGTTGGTTAAGCGACTGCCTTCGGCTCAGGTCATGATCCTGGAGTCCTGGGATCGAGTCCCGCATCGGGCTCCCTGCTCGGCAGGGAGTCTGCTTCTCCCTCTGACCCTCCTCCCTCTCATGCTCTCTGTCTCTCATTCTCTCTGTCTCACATAAATAAATAAAATCTTAAAAAAAAAAAAAGAAACATTTGTTGGTTTGACCTGAGGTGAGTTTGTGATTGTCTGAGATGACTTGTTTTATTTTATTTATTTATATTTTTTTCCCCAAAGAGCGAATGCACAACCAGTTGTAATACACAATGTAAGGCGGAATGGGAAAAGAGCTGAAGGCGGGGGTGGGTATGTGCATGGAGGGCCGCAGGAACTCGGGGCCAGCTGAGATTACTTGCTTTAAAAGAGGGAACAGTGTTACCCAATTCTGCGTTACTCCACCATTCATTTTAAGCAACCCAACTTTGGCTTTGCTTTGGTGATTTGGGATTGACTTGTGGTAACCTGAATGTGTATGAGTGGCAGGGCAGTAGTGGGAGCTTGGTAGTGGTCATGACAATGGATTCCCCAAGGGACAGAGCCAGGCTGCGGCTCAGCATCCGAACCACCACCTCTGGCCTCTCCCTCATAGACTTTGAGCTGGGCTGTTCATCTGCGCGGGGCAGCTGTTGTGGCCTTGGCCACCCTGGGTGGGGCTGCTCAGGCCCTTCCTGATTCTTCCAGGCTGCCTTCATTACAAGAGGAAACTAGGTCTTTTCTTTTCTTTCTAATATTAAGTATTTTATTTTTTACTTTTATTGAGGTATAATTGACGCATTTTATTCATTTTGGGTGTACAAATGGTTCTGTATTTGTATATATTGCAAGATGATTACCACAATAAGTCTAGCTAGCATCTGTCACACACACAGATACAATTTTTTCTTCTTGTGATGAGAACTTCTTTTTAAGTTTAGATTCAGTTAGCCAACATATAGTACATTAGTTTCAGATGTAGTGTGCAATAATTCATCAGTTACGTAGAACACCCAGTGCTTGATGAGAACTTTGAAGATTTACTCTCTTAGCACCTTTCAAATAATACAGTACAATATTAACTATAGTCACCATGTTGTACATTACATCCTAGGACTTATTTATTTCATAACTAGATATTTATACCTTTTGACCCCTTCACCCTTTCCCCCCTCCCACCCCTACCTCTGGCAACCCCCAATCTGTTCTCTTCATCTATGAGCCTGTGGTTTTGTTTTGTTTTTTTAAGATTCTACATGTAAGTGAGATCAGATGATATTTATCTTTCTCTGTCTTATTTCACTTAGCATAATGCCCTCAAGGTCCATCCATGTTGTCACAAATGGCAAGATTTCATTCTTTTTTTATGACTGCGTAATATTCCGTGTGTGGGTGTGTTTGTGTGTGTGTGTGTGTGTGTGTCATGTTTTTTTTATCCATTGACTCATGGGTGGACACTTAGGATTTTTATCATGTCTGAGAAGCTATTGTAAATAATGCTGCAGTGAACATAGAGGCGCATATATCTTTTTGAGTGATGTCTTCTTAGGATAAATACCCAGAGGACTTGCTGGATTGTGTGGTAGTTCTATTTGTAATATTTTCGGGACCCTCCATACTGTCTTCCCCAGTGGCTGCACCAATTTTCACTCCCACCAACAGTGCACGAGGGCTCCCTTTTCTCCGCATGTTCACCAACACTTCTTATGTCTTCTCTTTTTGAACAATAGCTGTTCTAACGGGCGTGAGGTAATATCTCAGTGGGCTTTTGATTTGCATTTTCCTGATGCTGACTGCTGTTGAGCCATTTGTGTGTCGTCTTTAGAAAAGTATCTGTTCAGATCCTCTGCCCATGTTTTTCATTATATTGTTTGTTTTTGTGCTCTTGAGTTGTAGGAGTTCTTCATGTATTTTGGATATTAGCCCCTTATCAGATAGAAGACTGGCAAATATTTCCTCCCGTTCAGTAGGTTGCCTCGAAATGAGGTCTTTTCAGATCTCCTCTCAGATTTCCCTGCATCATGCTTTTGCAAAAGGCTATTGCCCTGACAAAATGTTAAACCTCCAGTGACAAATTCAGGGTAATGGTTACCGCTGGAGAGGCAGGGAGGGGCATGAGAGAGCTCTTCGTTGCAATCTGAGTTGTTTTATTTTTTTATTCAGGGCCGTGGACGGATGTTCATGATAATATGGTATATACTGCAAAAAATATTTACATTTGTTATATATATATTTATTATTTATATTTAGTTCCTTGTGCACAGGGGCAAAGGATATTTGGAAATGGACTTGCTAGGCCAGAGGGCATCCACACTTCTCACTTTCCTGGGTATTGCTGGATTTCTCTTCCAAGGGACTGTCTCCTTTACTTCCCCGTAGCAGTGCACGTGAGCTAACGTTGGCCCACATCTTTGCCAACCCTTGGTAGTATCATCCAGGCTTTTCTCTCTCTGCCCAGATCCCCAGGAAAGACAGGAGGGGAATGAGGGAGAGGAACGGCAAGGTTTTAAAATTAGGAAGAGGGCGCCTGGGTGGCTCAGTCGTTAAGCTTCTTTTTTTTTTTTTTAAAGATTTTTTTTTAATTTATTTATTAGAGAGAGATAGAGTGAGAGAGAGAGCGCAAGAGAGGATAGGGTTAGAGGGAGAAGCAGACTCCCCGCCGAGCAGGGAGCCCGATGTGGGACTCGATCCCGGGACTCCAGGATCATGACCTGAGCCGAAGGCAGTCGCTTAACCAACTGAGCCACCCAGGCACCCAGTCGTTAAGCTTCTGCCTTCGGCTCAGGTCATGATCTCAGGGTCCTGGGATCGAGCCCCGCATCGGGCTCCCTGCTCCGCGGGGAGCCTCCTTCTCCCTCTCCCACTCCCCCTGCTTCTGTTCCCTCTCACGCTATGTCTCTCTCTGTCAAATAAAGAAATAAATCTTTAAAAAAAAAATGAAATAAAATAAAATTAGGAAGAGAATGTCAGCTCTGAGGAATTTCCTGTTAACATTTATTTTAATGAGGAAAAGATTTTATTTTCTGTGTTGGTGCAAATAACATTTAGACTTATGTGGGAAAACTGTTAACATTTTTACTCTGAAGTAGAGGACTTCCCCCCGCCCCATTTGCTTTCTTGGCAAATAAGTAGAATAGACCAATTAGCAAGCTAATGTTCTAAATGTTCACTTGTAGTAATAGTTATTTTTAACTGTTTTAAATAGCATGGAACATTGGGTTTATTCTTAATGCTTTTCAAAGTTTTGAATTTGCTAAAATGAATTGAATCTAAAATGTGACAGCTTTATGGATAGAGATTGATCATAATTATTTGCCACTCAAAGGTGCATTTTGTAATGGGAAAAATAAACTGGGTGGGGGATGTGTTTACCCTTTAAAAAATGAGTAAGACAGACACAAAGAGTAACTTCAGCCATTTTATGTTGTCGCTTGCATTCACAGGTGGGAAAGGAAAAGTTCCACAAATCTCAACATTGGGGCTTTTGCAACAATGTGAGCATGCTGGTGAGTGAAGATAAACCCGGAATTGGTGGAGAACTGCTTCTTGGGCAAAAGATGAAGCCGAAATACAGTGAATTTCCTAAAGGAATGGGAAGTGATGCGCCATCCTGGGTAGCTTTTGATAAGCAGGTAAGTCCCATGACACTGGGAAAAATGAAATCGTAAAATGTGACATGTATGTTATAGTGTATTTGAGAAAACGCAAGTCCTCAATGTAAATGTTCAGGCTCGTTCTTTTGAAAAGACACACTGCAGAAGAAAAGTACCCTACAGCTCCTGTTTCTGACCAGGCCCACTGGTTGCAGGACACCGAATGTTTATCTTTCTTGGCTAATGCTTACCAACCTTTCTCTCTTCTCCTCCTCTGGACAGGATAATCTGTCCTCCTATAGACCCTTAGAGTCTGGTCAGAGTGTCACTTTTGGCTTTGTGAGTTGCCATTAACGAAATCATGTTGTCTGATTTGGAACATGCCATTAAATAGCAACAGAAAGATGTCTTCTCTTTTCTGCATCCTAATCATGGTTCCCCATCCCTGAGAACCAAAGGGTGACATGGCATGAATTGTAGAAGTGAAGGAAAGAGGTGCCGTTATTAGACAAGATTCTGAACTTAACGTATATGTTTGTGCACATAACACACACATATCATGGCGAATTGATAATTGAAAAAGGTAATCCATTTGAATATCTTAAAAAGGGACTTAAGACCAAAGGGAAGAAAAACGCAGGGTGACCAGTTATTTCCCATAAGATAGCAGAATGGATATGTTTTGTTTTTGAGATAACCCTGTATCATGGCCTCATGTTCTGTTCTCCAAAAAGGAACCTATTACTAGATTATTTAGGTTCTGTAATTAAAAAATAATTCAGGACTGTGGGTCACCTGGGTGGCTCAGTTGAGTGTCCGACTCTTGGTTTCGGCTCAGGTTGTGATCTCAGGGTCGTGGGATCTAGCCCTGTGTCGGACTCCGTGCTGAGTGGGGGAGTCTGCTTGGGATTCTCTCCCTCTCCCTCTGCCCCCCTACCCTGCTCAAGCACATGCGTGGTCTCTCTTGTTCTCTCTTTCTAAAATAAATCTTAAAAAAAAAAATTCAGGACTAGATAAAGAATTCAAACCTTAATACCTTAAGTTTACCAGGTGGTTTTTAGCAGCTTTAGCATGGATTAGTTGGCAATACTTTGATTCCAATTAAATGTCTTCAAATTTGGTAGAAGTGACATATTCTGTGTCATCTGTGTTCGGGTTGATCAATTAGAGCGTATATTTTTTTTGAAGCCCAGTTCTGACACTTACGGAGATCTAACAGACTTCCGGGAAGCTGCTTTCCAGGGAAACCATCTCTACTTTGAACATGGACCATTATTTCTCTCTCTCATTCTCTTTAAAAAATGTTTTTAAGATTATTTTCAGTACCTGGCCCAATGTTGGACCCAGAGTTCAGAAGTAATTTCTGGGCTAGCTTACTTGGCTGGATCATGCTTGGTTTCCTGTTAATATCAATCTTATAGGTGTTTGCACATCATCATTCTAGAATATTTAATTTGCAAGGGACAAAGAAAAGTTCTATTTTTTACTTCTTGTGTCAAAAAGAGGGTATTGACAATAGATTAATCCACTACTGAATAAGTAATGTTGGAGGTGACAATATATTAAACTATTCTCTTACACTGAAAGTTGAAAATTCATTTTATTTCATGTTTTTCTCAATATTTAATATGTGCCTTTCAAACCTATTTTGCAGCCCTTTAATTACTTATAAAATTATGTAGAATATTTCATGAAGTTGGAATGATTTTAGCTTCAAACTACTTGAGAAAATGAAGAGCTTGCTCGTTTTAGGCCTAACTAAATGCAACATAATTCTTTCAGTTATTTTGTTGGTCAACTTCAATTAAATATTCATTGAGCTTTAAATGAGACACTAAGACTATGAAATATTTACGTGCTCTGATGAGATTGTGAACTACAGACTGGATCCTGGTTAATACCCAGAGCAAATTATAAAGCGCTTTCCCCATTGGTGGTTCAACAAAACAAGTCAACACCTGTTAATCATTTTTCTTAACTCATTGCCAGTTCTCTAATAGCTTTTAATCATAGCAGTGTATCTAGGATTATATATTCTCAAACAGTACAAGATAGAAATAAAGGCAGTTCTTTGGAAAGTGTATCAAAATCTAATATTTGTAATAGATGCCCCTGGTGCCCACCCAGATCCACATTAAGGATGGGGCACCCAGCTCCCCCACATGCAGCACGTGCTTTGGCACACAGCTCACACCCGTAACCCTCTGTGGAGTGTTGTTCTTGGCCGATGGGCATTGCATTACCCAGAGAAACCTGGATGGTTGCACTGGCCCCATCACCACAAGAAGAGGTGGCAAAAGGCTCAGTGATTTGTCAAGGGTAAAAAGCTGAGCTTCTTCAAGGCTGGACAACTCTGTATCGTGGATTTCGGCTCATAGCCCCTTGTGCGTCAGGTCCAGGCAAAACTTTACATGAGATTGTATCCTTGCTTGGCTCATTTCCCTTCCCTTGGGTGCTCCCCTCACTCCTTACAAGTTTCTCCTAAGAGTGTGCCCTTGGGGGCGCCTAGGTGGCTCAGTCAGTTGAGCGTCCTGCTCTTGGTTTCAGCTCAGGTCATGGTCCCACGGTACTGGGATCCAACCCCGCGTCGGGCTCTGTGCTCAGTGCTGAGTTTGCTTCAGATTCTCGTTCCTTCGCCCTCTGCTCCTCCCCTGCTTGCTCATGCTCTCTCTCTCTCTCTCAAATAAATAAACAAAATCTTAAAAAAAGAAAGAAAAGAGTATGCCCTTCATAAATCACATGCACCTAAATCCCTCTTCCAGGCCTTGCTTCCATGGAGCTCAACCTAAGACAACAGTCTGGGTTTTATCCGTAATTCTAAAAGTGACCATAAAAATGCTCTGCCCAGGCAGACCATCAGATCCCAAGCAGAGAAGAGGCTATTTGCAATCACCAAGAAGAGCCGGCATTTACTATCCTGCATGGCCCCCATGGCAGACATTTCTAGCTGTTTATCTTTTATTCACTTTCCCCTTCATTCTTACAGAGGGAACACCAGTGTTATTGTGGCGGGAGCTGTGCCCATTGAAAAGTGTTCCGCTGCCCAGGCTCCTTTGCAGCTAGGGCTGGCCAGGTGATTCACTTCTGGCCATTGATATATGGGTGAAGGTTTAATTGGGTAGGTCTCCTGGGAGAGTTTTTTTTTTCTAATTAAAAGAGGCTTGGCTGATAATGTTTTTCCCGCACTTTGCTCTACCTTTGTTTTTCTGTTTGGAACTAGGATGTGATCCTGCAGCCATCTTGGGAGAGCCTTGCTGGCAACCCAGAGCCGCTAGGCTGCCTCTCTCTGGACTTCCTTGTTCTATGAGAAAAATCAGCCCCTATTTCAGAGGTTCTCTGAACCCAGGGAGGCCTTTGGAAATGTGTGCAGGTGTTTTGGGTTGTCACAGTGACGGGACTAGGTCGAGGCAAGTGAGGCCCTTAACATGAGGGCACAACTTAACGGGGCGCCCCGAACCTCAGTACTCAAACCAGATAGTATTTTAATGAACTATTACAAGAATCAAAATTAATGCCAACACTCATGGTGACCGAACTAGCAATATTTTAAATAAAGTCAGGATCAATGAATTGCCATGCTGGGCCACTTTGGAGGCTGAGGCAAAAGGAAAAAAAATCAGTAACACTGATTCCATCTTTATTTAACATTTTTGGAATTTTTATGTGTTGTTTCCCAAGGATTGTTTGCATTCATTTGGATGCTTTAAATTGCCTTGCCCTAGGGCAATGCCCAGTCTGAGGTGTCTCTGCTGTTGAGTAGCTGGGGTCCAGCTGTGTATTTTACATCCTGCCATGTGGGGGGGAGCACCCTAGACTAGGGAGAATGTCCTCCCTAAAATGCCAGTCCCGCTGCCATTTGGAAACACATTCCTACTGGCCCTGGGAGGATTTATGCCTACGGCCAGTTTTGCGTGATACTGCATCCGCCCCGCTCCCCCCAAGACTAGTTATTTCATCAAATTCACTTGAATACAGGCAAGCACATATTCACTCACACCAGTTAGTTCCAGTCATCATCCCGGCACGTCTGTGAGGAAGAAGGAAGTGTGCATGATTGTTCTCACTCTGTAAGTCGTTGGTAGGAAGTGGGGCAGGGACCAGGGTTCAGAGGCTGTGTGTTGGGAGGCACTGGAACTAACCTTCTGTGTGACTGTGGCTTTAGTCACTTTCCCTCCCTGAGCCTCAGTTACCTGGACCGTAATGAGGGCCTCGGCTGGCTGATCTCAAAAGTCCTTTTACCGCTAGCAGTCTATGCTTCAGACTTTGGTCTTAGTGGATGACATTTAGTCTGTGACTAAAGGCAAATTCTGCTTGTTCATCCTAGAACGGAGCCCCAGATCCTGGATTTCCTGGCCTTGGGGTTCTTTCTGATTACACCAGGTACCTACATTATTAGTTGAAATTTGATACTGAGCAGTTTATGATATGCTGCTGTTACTGTATCTGATCTGTCATTAGCCGCTTTTATAAAAAGACGAGTTCGAAATACCCAAATAACTGAATGTTTTTATATGACTTTTATCTGGATGTTAAGTACCATTTGCATTGACTCTATAATTATGCTCTCATTTCTTTCATTTGGCAGTGGCTCCTAGTTAGCCTAATTTGTTTGCTATTTTGCAAATAACTCTATTATAGTAAATGGCAGGATAAAGGTTGATCCTGTGGGGTATGCATGCATTTAAAAATATTTCATTTTTTCCATCTATTGTAAACATAATAATTATAATCAGAACTATTGGCCACAGAATTAGAATTGTAATAACTTTGCATTCATTGATATTGGGTTTGTGGTAAGCTGATTATGTAGTACTGTGTGAATCTTTATGCTTTGAACAATATAAACATAAATTTTTAAAACATAATTTGATCTCTTGGGACACCTTGGTTTTTTAAAAGAGTTTAAAAAAAATTTGGTTTGAAGATTTTATTTATTTGTCCGAGAGAGAGAGAGTGAACGAGCACAAGCAGGGGGGGAGTGGCAGGCAGAGGGAGAAGCAGACTCCCTGCGGAGCAGGGAGCCTGATGCTGGGCTCGAT